GTGGGATTCTGAGCTGCCATGCGGATAAAGTTCTCGCTGGGTCCACATCGCTGGGGACGTCTCCAGAGGGAAGGGGCAGAGGACTTGCCTTCAGTTGGAGGGAGGAGAGACTGAGGCAGGATCCAGATGCTAAGAAGCTGGAGTCAACTGGAACCTTGTCCAAAGGAAGGTGGAAAAGCAAGGAAGGGCCTAGTGCAATCGGGAGGGAACTCAGTCCCTGGGTCACATGAACCATTTCTGTGGGATGTTCCCTCATCACCACCTTCCTGCTTGTTTTCCGTGGGTGCGGTGGGGGGTGGGGGCAGGCCAGGATGGGGTCTAACCAGGAAAGTCTGGGGCCAACCAGGATCAGGCCTCGCAACCCTTGGACCAGCATCGCCATCACGTGGGAGCTGGCAAGAAAGGCCCCATGCCCACTCATCGAATCAGAGACTGCAGGGTGGGGCCCAGGAACCCCCAAGCTCCCTAGGTGACTCTGATGCAGCTTCAAGTTCAAGGACTACTGCTCTAGAATATGGTTCTCCACGTTGGCTGCATATTAGAGTCATTGGGAGAGTCTGAAATGTTTGAATATCCCAGTCATACCTCAGACCAACTGGACCAGAACCTCTGGGGGTGGACAGGGTCCAGGCACGAGTATTTATCAAAGCTCCTCAGATGAGCAAAGTGCAGCCAAGGCAGAGCCTCTCTGGGCTGGATGGATCCTAACTGCTGTGCCATAGAGTCGTGAGATTTAGGATCGAAGCCCTATCCCTAAGCCAACTGAATCCGATTCTCTGGGAGAATCTCTGGGACCTGGCATGGGGGTTAGTTTATAAAGATCCCCAGGTGATTCTAATGTGTATGCAAGGCTGAGAACCACAATTCTAGAGGAAATAAAACTTTTACCCCAAAGCTGAGCAAGGCAATTTTATTGAAGGAAATGAGTTACTTAGTTGCCAAGGGAACCGTCCCTCGAATGGAAAGAAAGACAGTCACTGATTTCTGGCTTTTGTGCCAAACACTAAGTCACTGACTGAAGTGTATAATTCTCTCTCCCTCTCCCTCTCCCTTTTCTGTTTTTTGAAATGAAAAAAAGAAAGGAGATTCGAAGAAAATACTCTGCAGGGGAAATGCCTAATGACTTAGAAAAGATGCACAGAGCTATTGCCTCTCAGGATGCTGGCCGCAGCCAGGACAGCTGAGCCCAGCTAGCAAAGCAGACTGGGTCTGCTGAGCCTCAGCAAAGGTGCCAAGGTCATCAGAAGCCAGGGATGGACCAAGGGCCCAGGAGAGCTGCTCTGGACCAAAAGGAAAATCAGAATTCTGTCACGGAGACGCTGAAAACAATTAATGCCATCCGAGAACAGCTTGTACCTGCCTAAGTGATTCCGTATGAAATAAACCAGTCACAAAAAGACAGACACCATATAATTCCACTTATATGAGATACCTAGAACAGAGACTGAAAGTAGGGTGGTGTTTCCCAGGGCTTGGGGAGGGGAAATGGAGGCTGTCCACTAATGGGCATAGAGTTTGTTTTGCAAGATGAAAAGTGTCCTGGAGATTGGTTGCACAACAATGTCAACGTCCTTAACACTACTGAACTGTACACTTAAAAATGGCTCAAATGGTCAATTTTATGTCATGGGAATTTTACTACAACCAAAAATAGAGAAAAACAATCTCCGACAGTGTCAAGGCCAAAACAGATTTCATAAATGTGATAGATTCCCAAGCAATTATTTTTGTGTTGCTAGTTTAATAGTGGGTTAAATTTTATATTCATATTCATAGAGATGCAGAAGTTGGATTGTGTGCCAGATTTTCATTTTCAACTCTTTTCTCACTTAAGAATCTGTCTCGTCTGAATTCCAAGCCAGACATCAGCACTCACCTGGCAGCAGCCACTGAATGACAGGCATTGCAGAGTGTGGTTGTCCAGCACTCGTGTTGACATGCAAGACGAGAGAAAAGGAAGAGCCAAGCATGGCCCAGGTTTTTGGGATGAGTGACCGGCAGTGCAAGAGAGCCATTCACAGGGAGAGGGTTGGGGAAGGGAGGAGGCAGAGGAAGCTGTGCTTACCGAGTGTCTAGTTTGTGCCCGGCTCTGTGTGAGGCATTGTGCAGCCCGATTTCACTTAACCCTCGCCACAGCTGGAGAGGCTGGCATCCTGGCCTCACCCTTCAGATAATGAATCAGAGCCTAGAGGGACTTCAGCCGCTCCCTCAAGGACACCCAGCTAGTAAGTGGTAAGAGGCAACCTTGAATCCAGGTTGTCCTTTTAACTATGCCAGTTGAGGACATGATGAAGTTTGAGATGCAGTGCATGGACAGGTGTTCAGGAGGCCGCGGTGAGCACGCTTCTGAAGGTCCCAGGGAGAACCAGCCTGCAGTCAGGGGGCTAAGGCACAAGGACGGGAGAGACGGGCTGTGAATAGATGAGCTTTCTGCAGGAGCGTCCCTGGTGAGAGAAGAGAACCCCGAGGTTCACAGGAGATGAGTCAACAAAGGGGCCTGAGAAGGAGCATTCAGAGACAGGAGGGAAGTCAGGAGAGAGTGGTTTGTTAGGAAACAAAGGACAGCGAAGCCACCCATGTCACATGGATATCAAGGATGTGGCCTGAGATGTGGCCACTGCTTTGGCAATCACCAGCCTTCAGAATTCCAGCTTAACCCCAGCACAGCCTCATCCTCTTTCCCTGATAACTGTCCCCGAGCTCGGGCTTACCAGCTTTCAGCACATGTGTGGGATCCTGGTTCAGCGTCTGGACACCCCCACCAGGCTGTCAGCCCCGGGGAGGGCAGGGGCTACCTTTTGATACTTTTGATTATTCGTCCCCCAGCGCCTAGCACGCTGCCCTGCACAAAGTGAGTGCCCAATAATTATTTGTTAAAGGCCTGGCTGAAGCCAGCTCCACGCCCTCCCTCAACTGTCAAGGAAGCGCTGTCCCTGCCCCCTCCCCACGTTCAGCAAAGTCAAGGGCCATGAGGCTCTCTGCTCTCTGTGGCACCAGGTGATTCGTAGGCAGAGTTGCTTCGACAGCATTTCTAAACCGCCTCAAAGGCTGCATCTGACCTTGAGCCACCTTCTGTTTTGCTTGGCTAAGCACTGAGTCATTTACTTGTTTTTGCTGCCTTTCAACCCTGGAGCAGTGGCTTTAGCACAAAGGAAGACATGAGGGTTGTTTTATTTGTGGTGAATCGATTTCCCTTAAATAAGAACTTAAACTGCTAGTCTGCACTGCACAGCGGGAGGGTGTCGGGGCTGCAGGAAACATGCTGGGGGCTTCCTGAATCAATGCCCAGGTCTCTCTGAGCCTTTGAAAAAAAATGTTTTTCCCACAAACACTGACTGCGGGAGAAGGAGGATGGCTTGGAGGTCAGGAGACCAGGTGAGTCCCAAATGAGGCACTAGCTGGTGGCCATGGGCCTTTGGGCAAGTCACCCAACATGTTGTCACTGGGCATCCCTCCTCACCTGAAGATGTAGGGGTGCCCTCAACCCCCTCCAGTGCCAGGAGAGCACACATTCATGGTGGGGGGGGGCTTGGGGGACACCTCCAGGCAGAGACTGGCCTCCAGACCCATGAGAGCCTCCCAGAGCATCTGTCCCTGGGGCGGGGTCCACCCTGCAGCGCCATCCCCACCAGGATCCCTCTGGTTCCAGCCCTTGTGACACTGGCTGAGAGGCAGCTAAGACAGAGGTCCAGAGCACGGGCCTGAGACCTCCACCTCACCTGTCCGACGGACGGGAGTCTTCTTGCCTAAGGGGGTCTTGGCGATGCTCACAGGAGATAATGCAAGGAAAGTGCTTCGTGCAGGGCCTGACACAGGATGAGAACACGCTACATATTAGCGACTGTAATAACAAATAGTCTTTGTGGCTCAGATCCGTACATCAGGAGCACCTCCAACAACAAATTAGAGGCTGTGAAGACCCCAGAGATCTTTCCTAAGCCTCTAGCTGTAGAGGTGATGACACTGAGCTCTGTGGGGAGAGGAAGTGACTCACCCTAAAATCCATAGGCGGAAAGGGGACCACAGGTCCCGATTCCTTTATGGACGTGGATCATTACGTCCTATCACCAGCTCCTATGAGGGCCCTGCTGGGGCAGATGCCAAACCGCAGGAGCCTCAAGTGGTGGGAACTCTGATGTCTGATTCACCATGGCTCCTGCCCCACCTAGAACATAAGTGTCATCGGGGGGGCTCTGGCCATAGCACGCATTCAGTAGAGCCCCAGGCATGACCCAGGCCACCTCCCCCTTCTAGGCCTGTTTCCTCAAATGGGACAAAATGGTCTTTAGGAGCCTGTAGTCTTGACATCCCATGGTTCCAAGAACTGAGCTCAATTAACCACAAACAAGTGGCTGGAAACCTCCACTAACTGGCCGCTTCTCCAGAAGTACCTTGGGAGGAACAGGAAGAGCCCGAGAAAGCACAGCCATCTACCACCCCTGCGGAGTTTTTCCCAGTTTATGGCATGCCAGGGTCTACTGGTCTACTTGGTCTCATCGGCTACTTCCCTGCCCTACAGGCAAGCGGTGCCAGGTCTTCCCAGTCAGGACCAGGGCTCAGAACAGGCATGCACTCCGTAACAACCCACCGACAGGGGATTTGTTAAAATCCAAAACAAAGCGATTTGTCCATGAAAGGAGCCATGGGCCGGGAGTCTGGAGGCCTGGGACCAGGCCCACACTCCCCTCTGTGTCCCACTTGCTAGGCCTGCTGCGCTACCTCGTACAAGGAGGCCATCAGATGCTCTCCCTGCTCAACCCTCACAGCTCCCCGTCTTCCTCAGAGCACGTGGCAGCTGGGTCCGGGCCTGAGCATTGTCTGCCCTCCATTCTGAGAAGAAAGCGATACTTAATTGATTCGTTATCATGTCTTCCCAAGCCTAACCCCAGACCAAAGCAGAATAGGCTTCTGGAAGTGTCTAAGGGAGGAAGGGAAGAACGGGGAGAGGGAGGGAGGCAGGGAGAGAAGGAGAGAAAGAGAAGCCTGAAGTCCCTCCAGAACTAACATTCTACAAGTCCATGCAGCTAGGTGCTAAGGCAGTTCACCGTGGGAGTCTATTAGGTACAGCCACGCTAATGGTGGTTACACCCTTGGGGGAGCAAAGGGAGGGAATGTCAGATGTGAAATGCCATGTTAACCCCTTTTGGCCCAGGCACTGTTAACTTCCCAAAGCACAGGCTCTGTGGGTCCAAGTGTGTGAAGGCTGCCCGGCTGTGTGATGTGGGAAGTCCTGCCTTCACAGTAGAAGCCTCGGTGATGCTGGTGTCAGAGGCCATGACACACTCCCGTCTGCAAAGCTCATCGGTTACATCTCAGTGCTTTCCAGCCCGGAGCCCACAGTTCAGAAACACAAGATAGCAGGATTCTGCAGGGTGCTGGAGCATAGAGAGGAACGGATCTTATAAATAACTCCTGGTTAAAACACAGCTGAAAATAAGGAGACAGTAGAGGAAGCAAATTGCTAAGCACGTATTGAGTCAATCACATTGGCTTGAAAACCTTAGTGCAAATGGCTGGTCCTTCTCATCAGAAGATCAAACACAGGATTGAACCCGGAGGCACCAAGACTGTGCGCGTGCGTGTCTGAGGATGTTTGAAAAGGCGTGGTTAAGACCCTGGGCCTCCCTCAGCCACTCTGTCTTCCCAGGAAAGTCTGACTGCTGGGTTGATCAGTAAGCTCTGAGATTCTACATAGCGATTCACAGCTGAGGCCTCAGTATAAAACTCAGGAAGCCAAAAGTCTGAATTAAACCTTGACCATACTCACACACCCAGTCTCCCCCTTGTCCATGCCGTAGGGCCTTCCTCTAGCTGCGACAAGGCCTGCGTTCTGAATGCAAACCTTGAGTGCAAATGTGCTTGATTCACTCGCAATCCTCAAAGCCCCTGACCTTGAGGTGTGGCCCAGCCTCATGCTACCCGCGGGCAGGGTGGGGAAACAGGGCCCTGGCTGAGGCCAGAAGGCTCAGCACAGAGCTGACTCTGCCCGGGGCCACTCATCCCTGCCTCCCGGCCCACACAACACCCAAGCAGGAAGCCGAACGCCGGAGGTAGTGACCGCCTGAACGCCAGGCCCACGCACTGCCCGGCGCAGGAAGGAGAGGAGGAGCGAGGTTCTGCCTGCCGGGTGGCCGGCCAGCCTGTGCCGCGCTCAGCAGCAGGTGCAGGTGCCCGTGTGCACGCGGAGGATGCCTCGGCTGTGCAGGTGCAGGAAGTTGAAGATCTCAGAGGGCATGGCGTGGAAGCCGGGACGGGGCTTGACGTTGTCATAGTAGTGGTGGGTGATGTAGAGGCCCGAGGGGTTCATGGGGAAGGCCCAGAAGCCGAACAGGTGCACCTCCTCGCAGAGCTCTAGCGCCGCGGTGGCCAGGATGAGGCCGGTGCTGATGCGCTTCGCGCGCACCCCCAGGCTGAGCCAGTAGCGCGACACGTTGACCAGGTACTGCGGGTGGAAGTAGTACACGGCCTGCGGCGACTCGAAGTCGTCCAGCACGTACTTGACGCGGATGGACACGTCGGTGTTGCGCGTGTTATAGAAGGCGGGCAGCAGCACCGACGCGTTCTCGTACACCTGCAGCACCCGGTAGAAGGGCCGCCGCCACTTCTCCAACTTGTGGAACCTGGGCGGGGTCAGAGAAAGAGGGTGGGCGGCCCACTCCCCGTCCCCACCCCTGTTTCTGTGACCCTCCCGGGAGCCCCTGCTGCCCCCGCCTGGCACCCTGGGGCCTTTCCAGCAGTTGCAGGAGACTCAAGGCCACCCGGCTTCCTTTCATCTCATTCACCTCTGAAGATGAATGCCTGCCTTTCTCGGGCAGCTCTATTTTTCTAAGTGGAAGCAAACAACCATGTAGGGAGGGCAATGCTTCCCCCAAAGTGATGAGAGCGTCTCGGGGGAGTGGGGGAAGAGACTCGGTGAGGAGGTGGAGAGGTGGGGAGGAAGTGGGGACTTTCTCTGGGCTCTCAGGGCAGCCACATGTACTTTCTTTCCCAAGACCCCCAACGAGCACAGCAGATGAGTGTGCCTGCTCTCTCCTTCCTGCCCCGCAGCCCCTCACTCACCTTGCACTTTACACCAAGCAGCCCTCCTGTGGGCTCATCTCCCACCTCTCCAATCGCTCCTTCACCTTGCTGACTCTGTAAGTGTCCTGGGCATCACACCTGATTTACCAACTCCCCAGCCTCTGGTCTCTGGCTGTCTGGCCATCTTAACCCTGTCTGACCTGGCTGGTGTGACTATGCTCTCGGCTGGAGTTTTAACTCATTAACCCGCTTCTCCAAGGCCTCCCAGGCAGACAGACCCCAGGAGGGGCACGAGGTAGGGACTGAGATCTTTGCAAGAGTCTTCTCTCCAGGGCCACCTGAACACACCAGCGTAGGGAGCTGCCTTCCCCCATCACACTCAGGAAAGCTTTCTGGCCCATCTAGATGAAGACTATCTAGACCAGTGCTGTCCAAAAGAAATATAATTCAGGCCACATATGTCATTTTTAATGTTCTAATGATCATATTTAAATAAGTAGAAAGGAGTAGGTGAAGTTAATTTTCGTCATATTATATTTAATGCTCACAATGTTTTATTTAACCTGCTGTACCCAAAATACTACTATTTCAACATGTAATTGATATAAACAATAGATGAGATATGGACCATCCTCCTTTGCATGTTAAGTCTCTGAAATCGGGGGTGTGTTTTACGCTTACAGACAGCCCATGTCAATCTGGATAGCCACATTTCCAGTGGCCAGTAGCCACGTGTGACTAATGGCTACTATATTGGACAGCACAAGTCTGGAAGAGGGTCAGTTACCTCTCTGTGATGATGCTGGGGTTCACAGTGACCACATCCGTCTTCACTCCCACATCCATGGTGTACTTCTCCGAGATGGGGGGTAGGTTGCACCTGCAGAGGAGACAAGGCAGCCAGGCCATCTGTGCTCAGTCATTCTAGATAGAGCTGGAGAGCTATCAGGGTGGGATGTGGGGAAGGAGGGGATGGTGCTCAGATGGTCAGACAGATGCAGAGGCAGCCAGCTGGGTGGAATCTTGGTGGCCTGTGCATAGAGAGGCAAGTTTAGCTCCTCCCGCTCCCCCCCCCCCCCCGAGTGGCACAATGATCATGGACAGCCTCAACCCCAATCCCTCTGCATTGAGCCTTTATTTTCAACCCATCTTCTTTCTCCAGGCTAAAGATGTAAGTGAGGATCCCCAAAGAAGTAAGAGGAGGCTCTATCTAAGGAAGAAGAAATACAAGGACCCATCTCTGGCTTAGTTAAGGCCAAGGCGAAGCCAATACTGGTGCCAGCCCCAAGGCTGACCGGGTTCCAAACCTTGCTTCTGGAGGGGTAGAACCCAACTGGGGAGGGCTCTGCACACCAACAGATCTGCACCGACCTTGTGCGTCCTCAGTGTCTGCATAGCTGCTGTGCTCTTTTTAAAAAATTAATTCTTTTTAATTTTTTAAAGAACAGAAGTGTTCTTTACACACCTCTTATTCCGCAGACATGGAGACAGAGGATGTGAGAGGTTTGGCCACTGGCACCAAAGGATAGGACAGGAGAGGGTAAGAAACAACCCAGAGCATGAGGGGGTGCAGGGCTGGGGGCGGAGCACTTGAAGGACAGCACTGGGGCATGGGGGCGGGGCACCACAAGAGGGAAGGGCACAGAGCGGGAGGGCCTTGGGGGTAGAAGCAGCAGGTGCAGAGCCTGGGGGGTTCTTTACCGGAAGACAAAGTCGGCGCTGTTGATCTCCCTCCCACAGCGGCTGTTCTTTAAGATGCCTCCGTTGCCCACCACTGCACACTTCTTAAACTGGGACCGGTAGTAGGGCATGTCCTGGGGGAGACAGGGACGCAGCTGTCACAGGCAGTGCCCTCCCTGCCTTCTTCGGGTGCCCTCACCCCTGTACCCATGGCCACGTCTACGAGTCAGCCTTGCAGGGAATGTGGGAGAAAGTGGTCATTCCACTTTCCAGATGAGAAGAGAGGCCAGGAGACTTGTTCCCAGCGCCACTGGCCAGTACGAATGAGCTGGAACAGAAGCCCGGTCTCCACAACCTTTTCTAATAAGCTCTGGGATGCCTCAGGTTTCCAGAAAGAAGAGAGTACACGTTATGGCCAGTCCTGCTTGCCTTTGGTTTTGCCAGTGTTTGGAAGCACATCTTCTTCACGACTTCGAGTGTGCATATTTTATTGGTTAATGCAGCTGTTCTGGGGGATGACGGCAGCAGAGATGGGGGCGGGGCCCCCGGGGACCAGGGCCCTAAACCTGGCTCTCACCTCTTCCAGATCAGGGCAGGGTGCAGACCCTGCCTCTGCTCCGCAGTGGGGACACACGCCTGGGATAGAAAGGTCAGACAGACCAGGACAGATGGCAGGATTTGGCAGCAGCAGGGACAAGACACCATGGGCTGAGTAAGCAAGGCTCTGCCAGGAGAGCGGGGAGGGGCCGGAGCACCTGAAGTCTCTGCGAAGCGCAGAGGAGCGCGGGACTTACCCTGAGTGACAGTGGCACTCACGGGAGCCCTGGGAGCGACCATCTCATGGCACTTTGACCTTGTCACACTGACTGCTGGGGTTACTTTGGTCTGGCCACCGGCTCCCCACAAGGCTCCCCGGGCATGCTCTCCAGGGGACCACAGGCACATCGGCAGGAGAAAGCAAACACTGGTCTGAGGGTTAAGGGTCCCAGTTCTGTCCCGTCCCTGGTCTGGGTCATAATCCCCTCCCGGGGAACCTGAGGCAGATGGAGCCAAGCAGCCGTAGGCATGGCACGGGCAGACAGGAGCACAGACCTGGAGTCCAGGGCAGGGTGCCCAGCCATCCCAGTGTGCCCAGGACCGGGGAACTTTGCAGGGCTTCCCTCGGGTCAAACCAGAAAAGTCTGGGGCCAATCAGGATCAGGCCACCAGGCGGAAGACCCACGTTCAGCCCTGGTTTTGCCCAATAATGAGGTGAAGGAACTATATAGACAAGTGATTTGAATTCTCAGCAACTCAGTTTTCCCATCTGTAAAATTAGGATAATTCCATGTGTATGTTGTGTTTTTCAAGCAGAGTTTCTTGATCTGGCACCGTTGACACTTGGGGCCAGCTCATTCCTTGTTGTGGGGGGGGCTTACCTGTGGGCTGTTGGATGTTTAGCAGCATCCTGGGCCTCTCCCCACTGGATGTCCAAGGTATCCCCCAATCATGACAACCAAAATGTCTCTAAACATTGCCAAAAGGCCCCATAGTTGAGAACCACTGGTTAAATGAAAAGCCTACCCAGTGTGATGTTGGGCCCAGAGGTTATCTCTGGGAGATGATACCTTGCAGGAGGGCCAGATTATTACTGTCATTAGTCCCCAAAGTTCCCTCCCCCAGGAGCCTACTGGGCAGCTCCCCTTTCAGCACACATCACTTGGCCAGCCCTGAATGACAGCAGCCCTGGTCAGCACCTTGGCCTTCCAGTGGGGCCAGCTGCCAGGGGGAGTCACAGGAAATGACACCGCAGTGGGTCCTCAGGAAGGAGGCTAAATCCAAAGGAGATGCTGCATCCGTCTGTGCGGCTGTCCTTCAAGGCCCATTTTCTCTGAAGGAACAGGCCCAGGGGCCAGGATGGGGAAAACAAGGGAGTCTCACAGCCAGTGGGGAGAACGGCACTGTTCGACTTGTACCAGGGAAAGGAAAAAACCAAAGTTATCTTTGGAGAGATCCTCAAAGGCCTTTATGTTCTATGTCAGTGTTTCCCAAACTTCTGTACATCAGAAACAACCTGGAGTACTTTCTGGAAATAGAAATTCCTGGGCTCCTTCCCAGAACCATGGAATCAGAATCTCCAGGGTGGGGGGAGGAGATCGAGAAGCTGAATTTTATACAGTCCCAAAGGAGTACTTACCTTGAGGGTAAGAATACTTCTAAGTCACATGCTCTAACTCAGGGGGTGGCCAATTATGGCCTGCGGGCCACATCGGACCTTCTGCCTGTTTCTGTACAGCCCGTGAGCTAAGCATGGATTTTATATTTTTAAATGCTTGGCGGGGGGGGGGGGGGAATCAAAAGAAGACTTTGTGACAAGTAAGGATGGTGTAAAGTTCACGTTTCAGTGGCTGATAGGGACTGGAGCCCAGCCACACTCATTTGTTTACGAAGGTCCATGACTGCTCTGTGCTGGAGCCATAAAGGTGAGGAGCTGTGACAGAGACCATATGGCCTGCGACGCTTAAAATATTTACTCTCTGGCCCTTTCCAGAGAACGTTTGGCAGCCCTGCCCTAACTCCCTGGGCCTTGGCAGTCTATACCCACGGCCCTTGTTGGACCCACGTGTCATGACGGACCTGTGTGTCACCCACTGGCATAACCTTCATGAGATGCAAGTCCACCTGCTGACATCAGCCTGCTGTCCAGACCTTGCAAGACCCCCCTTGTAGGGGCACCTGGGTGGCTCGGTCAGTAAAGCGTCTAACTGCAACTCAGGTCATGATCTCGTGGTTTGGGAGTTCAAGCCCCTCAATGTGCTCTGTGTTGAAAGCTCAGAGCCTGGAGCCTGCTTCGGATTCTGTCTCCTTCTCTCTGCCCCTCCCCCTCCATCATCCTCCAGCCCAGTGACGTGGGGAGAGTATGTGTGATGCCTCTCCACCTTTAGCTCCTCCCCACTGCCCCCACAAGGCCCAATCTTGTCAGCACCTTCCGTGTAAGTAACAGAACACAGGGACCTCTGGGCTTTGTTTCATTCATGAGCACGCCCATTGAAGCAGGGCAGTCCAGGCCCTCAGATTTCATCTGGAAAGACCTAAACATGCCCCCACTCAGCATTTCTACAAACTAGGCCCACTAAGTCCTGCCCTGGGCCCATCGCTCTCCAGGTGGTGGTTATGAACACATCTTGTGGAACTTTCTTCCACTTCAGATGGTAACAACCGTCAGAATGAGCTGATGGACAGGGAGACTGAGGCTTTGGAAGATAAAACCGTCTAAGGTCATCCAACGTGAGATCAATCGTTCCCGCTTTGCTCTCTACTGGTTTGTGATTTCTTGTGCACGCAACCTTTGCATGGATGGTTTTGCTCCTGTGCCTGCCGCCAGTGGGGGACAAATGCCTAATTGCTTTCCCAGGGACCTTCAGGATGTCCTCTGCAAGCAACGCGGATAACCAAAGTTAACAACCAGTTTCCTGCCAGAGTCACTCAAGTAACAGCCAGGTGGCACTCACTGGAGGAGCCCTGGAGCACAGTCCACTGAGGCGACCGGAGCCACAACGGGTGCAGAGAGCACAGCGGAGTGATGCCACACCACCTGCGCATGGCCACAGAGGGCCACGTGAGGTCGCCCCCGTGCCCCGCCCGGACTGTCCAGCCCGAAGCAGCACCTTGGGAAACATGCGGAAGATCTCCTGGTTGATGTGGTAGATGCCGCTGGTGTCCACTTCATACTTGAGCTTTGTCCCCAGGGGTGTGTTCTTCTGCGTAGTGAAGAGGAAGGAGGGGGCGTTGCAGCACCTGGACAGAGTGGACCTGCCAGTCAGGAGACAGACCGGAGGGACAGGTGACACAGGGCAGAGCAAAGTCTCTGGAAGAACAGAGTCGGGGAACTGAGGCCCCTGGGGGTGACCAGGGAGGGCCATTCTCTTCCACCCACCCCCTTCTCACACTCGCTCCCACCCCCCCACCTCTGCTGGCGTTGTCCCTTCCCCCTTCAACATGCCCCCCCCCCCCCCATGCCTGGGCCTTTCCTCCTCTCCTCACACTGGCCTTTCTCTCCGGGAGCTCCCAGATGCCCACCCACTGACTGCACTGGCCTCCAAGGACCTGCAGCACAGTCCGGCTACCACCCACTTCGCCCCCTACCAACTCCCTCCCCACTTGAGCGAAAGCCCCTTGACGGCAGGCACCCTGCCTCTCGGATCCTGCACGGGTTAGTCACACAATTGTTGGACAGCCAGCTGCTGGCCAGTCGTGGGATGAATTGTGCCTCACTCGGGAGTTCGTCAAGATCTGCTAAGCATTCTACTATTTTCTGGAAATGCTATTTATCCAGACTTGGTGGAAATCCGGGGACACAGAGCTCCCCCTTGGGTTCCTGGCCCTTAAATAAGGTGTTTACTCTTGTCTCACAGGGCGGGGGGGGGGGGGTTACCAAAAGACCAAGACACCAATGTCAACAAAAGCATGTAATTTCAACCAATTAGAGAGTGTCTGAGGAAGAGGGGGAGGTCAGGAAGTGGGCTGGTGGGCAGATGCTGGATGTGACTTCCTGCTGAAAGGGGAGTCTGACTGACTTCCAAAAGAGGTTTTCAGGAGTTCATGGTTTCTTAAAAAAAAAAAAGGCAAAAGCCCTGCAGCTTTCACTCACAAAAACTTTCAAACACAAGCCACAGAAGGGTTAAAGATCAGATGACACAAGCAGGCTTTGCAAAAATAAAAAATAAAAAAAATAACCCTCCAAGGGAGAAGGGGTGTGCTGAGGGTTAGACCTGGGAGTCAGCCAGGCCAGAGAAGGCTGAGTCTTCCCTCTGCCTCAGCTAGTGCTCCCCAGGTTGCTCTCTCTCCCAGGCCTGCTGAGAGGTCGGGTCCTGGGCACTGCTCTCTCCTGCCCTAGGGGTTCAAAGTTCCCCCTGCCCGCCCGCTCCCCCCCACCCCCCACCCCTGCTGCCCAGGGGCGGGACCTGACACAGGAGGCAGGCTGCAGCCCTTCCACCTGGTGGGGGTGGGGAGGGCTTTGAAGCCACAAGGCTCCGTTTTCTCCAGAAGCAGCAGTGTTGTGCTGAGTGCACACTGGCCTCCTCCCCCCAACCCTGGCTGTGGGCACAATCACATGCAGTGTCAGGCGGCCCCAGGAGGGATGGAACACCTTCTCCATGGAGCCAGGATGATGACGATCACCAACGTTTGAGGAGGAGCTTTCTGGAAAGTTCACATCCAAGGTCTGGGATGGAAACTTGGGTTGCCAACCTGGTGTCAGGAGGCTTGGGTTCTAGTTTCTGCTCTGCTCCTGCCAGCTGTGGGGCTCTGGGAAGGGGTCTTCCCTGGTCTGGGCCTCAGCTTCCTCATCCACAGAATGTAGCCTTGGCTCTTCCACCGCTGAGCCTCTCTAGTTCTGTGACTGGGTTGCCAAAGCCAGGAAGGTTATACAATTATTGTTTATGACTTTATTTCTTGCAGGGATTTCACTGGGGAAGCTCGGCTGGCTGCAGGTCAGAGAGAGGTCTTGCCTGTGCAGTGATGAGTTTCAGAATGTGACTAAGCCTTCGCAGAGGGGAGGCCAGGGGTCTGGCCAGCACAGGCCATGAGTCAGCACTGGCCCACTTAGCTTTGCTGGTCCAGAAACTCAACCTTGTGAGCCCGCTGGAGAGTTCTCCACTGATGGAAACTGACTCATATTAACCAAGCTTACGAGTGACTGATCTATTAACCAGAATGCCAACGTGTCCGTTTGTAGGCAGTAGGGTGAGGGAAGGCCTCCGTTACAGGACTCCTTTCCTGTAAGTGGGAAGCTCACATCTGTTTTCTAGCGCACCCCCTCCACCCCACCTCATTTCACCATCCCAGGTTCTTGTGAGCCTGAATGAAGGATCTCATCCTCGTTGATTGAACTTGTAATGAGAGCAAAGGGAAGCAGCTGACTGGCCTTGAAGGTTTTTCCATCTGGGGCCTGGCAAGACCTGATGTCATCTCCCTTTTCCTCACCTGAAACTACTCCTCCATCCCCACCCCAAGAAGGGGCTCAGCCTCCCCGCCCCCCAGCGTCTCCCCTGGATAGTGCTGGCTGATCCCTGATGAAGGCTCCCACACATCCTTGTTCTCTTGCTGTCATTTCATCTTCCTGTTGCTTCGTTATTTCCTTAGATATGTGAATCCCACAGAGGACACTTCGGTGCAGCTTCCGGCCCAGACAACATCTTGCACCTCATTGGCCTCCTCTGCACCAGGTAAGCCACACCACCGACCTGCTCAGGGCCCGCCCACCCCAGGGGGCATCTGCCTGTCCAGCGCCGACACTAACACCTCTTGCATAGGGGTGGATTTAGGGTGGCACTTGCCACACAGATCTTGGACCTTTCCCCCTCCCAGCACTTTGTTCAAGTCCATGTTCTACTTTTATGATGGCGGGGAGGGCGGAGGGGGGTGCAGGGCAGGAGGAGGGAGGGCAGGAGGGGTCTCCGTGCACTCCTGCTGGGCCTTAGCTGGGAATCTGCAGTCTCACAGAGGCCTCTGGTTTGCGGCTGCTCATACCTGTTCTTCCAGGGTTATCACTTTAAACATCCACATTTCTAAAAATGTGCCACTTAAAACTACTACTCAGTCTTTAGATGTGGCCTGGAATTGCAGCAAACCAGACCAAATGACTCATAAGGAAAAGACAAAATGCTTAGTGTCGTTTGCTTTTCACAGCCTCCCCAGGTAGGATTCCTGCATGCCAATGGCCTCTGACTACATGTGAACTTCATCCTGAGTGGCGGCATTCGGTCCATACCCACATGGCCGGGGTCCCATCAAGTGCATTCAGTAAGGTCGTTCTGCACTAACATTATACTGTGAGCTCACAGCATTTTCGCGATGGAGAGAACCCTATGGTTCGCGTGAATCAGAAGGAACTTGAGGATGTCTGCCAGCTGCTCGGCTCTTGCAGACGGGGACCAGAGCTATGGCTCTTGCCTCTCTGGAAGCTTATAATCTATCGCTTCGGGTCAGAGAGCAATTAGAAACTCATCTGCAGCAGGCCTCGCATGCACATCTGGTGCAAGCTGCCCCGTGAGGGGCTGGCCCCTCCCTCCAGGAGACCTGGAGCCAGGGTGGACCTGTAGTGGCGATCGCTCCTGAGCCCGCCGGGCAGCTGCGAGGCCTGCGATGGGGGCGGGGGAGCAGAAGCCAGAATTGGGGGGGACGGTGGCCAGCAGGGTGCCCACTGCAGCCTGCATGCTGAGTCAGAACCTCCCCGCTGCCCAGACCCCAAAGCCCAGCCAGGGCGAGCTCTGGGGAAAGGCGACCCCAGGGCGGGACCTTGCAGGTCCAGCAAGGAGAACAGCACCAAAGGGAGGGCAGGGGAGGGCATATGGGTCACAGATACTTGAACTGGTTGGCTTCAGAGATATTCATCGCCCATCTGCACATCTGCAGGCTCTTCCATCTGTCGAACAGCTCCGACTGCTTCACCCTTTGGGAGCAGAGACAGAAGAGCACGTGAAAGGGCCAGGCCGGCCAGAGAGGCGGCATTTGCCATCACTCCTCCCCGCTCCCCCTTACGCCCAGTCCTGGTGAGGTCCTTGACGTTAACTGTGTTAACTTGATGCTCTGGCACCCAGGGCCTTGCTTACTCCTAGACCGCTCTCCTGCAAGCATGCCTTCCGCACACAAACCTACCGGTCCTGAGCCCACAGTCTCACCGCCTCCTTTATCAACCGGGCCACCAGCCTTAAGGGGACTCAAGAGCTCTCTGAGTTAGAGGCACAATCCCATGTCTGTCTGCCCATGTGCATATCTCGTGGAGAATCTGAAGCTTTCACTGGCTTCCCGAAGAGGTCCTTGATGCCAAAAACAGGACGAACACTCACTTAACTGTAAAGTAAAAACCAGTTTCATTCTGCAGAGCTGGGTCCCCTGTGTTTAAATGGAGGGGAAAGGGTTGTTCCCACACAGGGCAAGCCTCAGCCACAGAAGGAACACATACATGACTGGTGGGGGGAGGGGTGATCGCGAATGGCGAGTGCAGAAGTACAGGATATCGGCACAGTACGTGGATTGTGCACTCAGAAGCTGGGCCTCAGATTGAGTTCAGATTCCCCCCAGCTATGGGACCGCGGGCAGGTTATTTGACCTCTCTGAGCCTCCTCTATATAATGGGTATAATAATAGATTGTCACTCACCGTCTCAGAATTCTTAAAATTATTAAATAAGGTGATGCAATAAAGGGCTAAGAATGGGAAGTGCACACGGAAAGTACCTGGCAGATGCAAGTTATTTTCTTTAATTTATTCATATTTGAGAGACAGAGCACGAGTGGAGGAGGGGCGGAGAGAGAGGGAGACACAGAATCCGAAGCAGGCTCCAGGCTCCGAGCTGTCAGCACAGAGCCCGACGCAGGGCTTGAAGCCACAAACCGTGAGATCATGACCTGAGCTGAAGTCGGATGCTCAACCGACTGAGTCACCCAGGCGCCCCTGCTGTTAAGTTATTCTTATGGTTAAACTGCACTGCCTGGACTCTCCTTGCTCACAGCCCCCTGGACTTTCCCCTTTTGTTAAACCCACAGTCCACCTCTATTCATTCCTGATCTTTCCCACAAGCCAGGAAATAATGGTAGAGGTAGGGGATCATGCTTGAGTTCACTGCCCTAAGTCTGGCGCTGAGGCACACGGCCGACCTGCGGTGAATGCGTGCCGAGAATATCAATAAGCTGGTGAGTGGGCCAAGAAGTCTGAGTTCCGACAGAGTCCATAATTATTTACTGAACTCCTCTATGTGGCAGGAACTGGGAATATAGCAGTGAACAAAACAACCCCTGCTTCCACAGAGCTTAAATACCAGTAAGGAGGCAGGTGGAAAAACAGGTATGTATGCACATGACAACAAAAGCACATGCGCTAAAAGCAAAAATAAACAGGCAGGACTACTTCCAGCTAAAAAAACTTCTGTACAGCAAAGGACCACAACAGAGTGCAAAGTCAACACAGAGAACGGGAGAAGGTGTTTGCAGACCATTTATGTGATGAGGGGTTAATATCCAAAATACATAAGGAACTCTTACAATTCAATAGCAAAAGACCAAATAAACTGATTTTTTTTATGTTTAAATGTGTATTTATTTTCAGAGAGAGTGCATGAGCAGGGGAGGGGCAGAGGGAGGGAGAGACAGAGAAAGAGAGAGAGAATCCCAAGCAGCCTCCACACTCAGTGCAGAGTCCGATGCAGAGCTCAATCCCATGACTGTGAGATCAGACCTGAGCTAAAGTCAAGAGTCAGATGCTAGGGGCACCTGGGTGGCTCAGTCGGCTAAGCGTCCAACTTCGGCTCAGGTCATGATCTCATGGTTCATGAGTTTGAGCCCCACATCGGGCTCTGTGCTGACAGCTCGGAGCCTGGAGCCTATTTCGGATTCTGCGTCTCCCTCTCTCTCTCTGCCCCTCCTCCATTCACGCCCTTTCACTGTCTCTCAAAAATGAATAAATGTAAAAAATAAATTTTTTTAAAGAGTCATACACTTAACAGACTGAGCCACCCAGGCACCTCCAAATAACCTGATTTTTAAAAGCACAAGACTGGTAAAGACATTTCCCCAAAGAAAACATACAAATGGCCAACAGACACATGAAAACGTGCTCAACATCACTAAGTATCAGGGAAATAAAAATCGAAACTGCAATGAGATATCTCATACCTGTTAGGATGGCTAATATAAAAAAAACAAAAGGGGCACCTGGGTGGCTCAGTTGGTTAAGCGTCTGACTTCAGCTCAGGTCATGATCTTGTGGTTCATGAGTTTGAGCCCTGCATCAAATTCCTTGCTGTTAGTGCAGAGCCTACTTCAGATCCTCCATCTCCCTCTCTCTCTGCCCCTCTCTGGCTCACACACTCACACCTGTGCTCTCTCTCTCTTTCTCTCTCTCCCAAAAATAAACATTTTTAAGAAAATCAAAAAGGTAAAAACAAAAAACAAAAGATTGCACGTGTTGGCGAGGATGTAGAGAAAAGGGAACCCTTGCAAGCGTTGGTGGGAATGTAACATGGTGCAGATAGCATGGCAAACGATATGGAGGTTCCTCAAGGAAAATTACAACAAGAATAGCCATGTGACCCAGCAATCCCACCTCTGGGTATATAGCCAAAGGAATTGCCATCAGGATCTAAAAGAACTCCCTGCACTCCCGTGGTCGCTGCAGTATTAGTCAACGGTAACCAAGGTGTGCAAACAACCTAAATGTCCACTGATGATGAACAGAAAGAGAACACGTGTGACAGACGTACACTGGAATACTATTCAGTGTTTTAAAAGAAGGGGATCTGTCTCATGTGACAAGTTGGGTGAATCTGGCGGACATTATGCTCAGTGAAGTAAGCCAGTCCCAGAGGATATATACAGCATGATTCTGTTCATGATGTATCTAAAATAGTCAATCTCATGGAAACAGAGAAGAGAGTGGTGGTTGCCAGGGACTTTGGGAAGGGGAGATGGTGAGCTGCTTGCTGTTCGATGTATATAAAGTTTCAGTTATGTAAGAGGCATAAGTTCTAGAGATCTGCTGTACAACTTAGTGCCTACATTCAACAACACTGTATTATAGACTTCAGAATTTGTAAAAAGGATCTCATGGTTAGTGTTCTTACCCCCCCCCCCCCTTAAGAAAAAGAAAACAGATAATAATGCCATGAAGAAAAATGAAGCAGGCAAAGGAACCACAGAGTGACTGCTTCAGAAGGGTTGGTCAGGGAAGGCTTCCCTGCAGAGGCGAGCTTTGCACAAAGAACCGAAATGATCAGGAGTGAGCCATGCAAATACCTGGGGAAGGAGTATTCCAGGCAAAAAGCAAAGTGAGTGCAAAGGCACTGGGGTGGGAACTTACTTGGTAGCTTTAGGGAGCTGGAAGGAATCCATCCTTCCATCCTGATGCCTTCCTTCTGGCTTTCCCAAAGCTCCCACAGCAGCCCTCACATCTCAGGCCAGTGTGACATCAGACGAGGGTGCCATTACGCAGCCCCACCCTGGCTCACTCACTGCCTCCCTCCCCTGCACCCTGCAACCCACAGGCCCCTAGAGCAGTGCCCTACATGACCAATGTCCCAAACACTTTCTAGAAACACAGACATGGCAAGACTAAAGGCCAGGGTCTCAGTTCCAACTGTTACCAGTGTCTGGGCCCCCTTCTGTGTGCCTCCAATGCCTGTCACAAGCTAGACCAAGGCTGGGGCCTGAACACCCAACTTGCAGTGTGACCTTAGACAAGTCATTTAATCTCTCTGAGACACAGGTGCTTCATCTAAAAGACAGATGTAACAGCCTCTGCCCTGCTAATCTCAAGGGTTGTCAGAAAGATCAAATGAGATAATATGCATAACAATATTTTATCAATTACTTTCCCAACGCAGAGATCATATTGACTTTAAAGACGAGGGGTTGATCATAGGCTCTTATCTCCTTTCTCCCAAGATACCACTTACATTCCAGAAGAGGAATAAAAAAGGTTTAGACCTACCAGATGAATGGAATGACCGGGGTGGGGGGAGTTCAATGGAATAGAGATTTTGACAAGTGTGTAGAAGGAGGAGAGGGGACATAAGGAAAGGTGACACAGCCCAGAGACAGAGTCTAACCTCATGGGACATTTCAAAGAGGGGTGGAGGGTGGGGAAGGGGCATGGTGCTGAAAATGAACATCATTTGTACGTCTGTATTTGGAACCATCAAACCCACTCCCAGATATTTAGGTCCAGCAAAGGGAGGGGAGGGATTGACCCAGACTGTTAGTCAGTTCCTACCAAAAAAACAAAAAAACAAAAGCAAATGATCATTCCCAGGAAAAAGGAGTGGCATCTTCAACAATGACTCTTTTTTTAATTTAATTTTTTAAGTTTATTTATTTATTTTGAGAGAAAAAAAGAGAGAGCAGTGGAAGGGCAGAGAAAGAGAGAGAGAGAGAGAGAGAGAGAGAGAATCCCAAGCAGGCTCTGTGCTGTCAGAGCAGAGCTTGCCACAGGGCTTAATCCCACAAACCGTGAGATCATGACCTGAACCGAAACCAAGAGTGGGCCACTCAAGGGACTGAGCCATCCAGGCACGCCTCCAACAAGGCCTGCAGCCAGAGTTTCTATCAGCTTTTTATTGTTCTAAATTTAAATATGAATAGATAACCCAGGATCACCTGGTCAACTGGATGGAAACAATAGATAAAGGAGAAGTTAAAATATCCAAAGAGAGGGGCGCCTGGGTGGCTCAGTCTGTTGAGCATCCATCTCTTGATTTCAACTCAGCTCTTGATCCCAGGGTTGTGGGATGGAGCCCATGGCAGGCTCCGCACTGCACACGGAGGCTGCTTGGACTTCTCTCTCTCTTGCTCTCGCTCTCTCTACCCTGTTTCTGATTCTCTCCCTTCCTTAAAAAAAAAAGAAGAAAATGCTGGAGGAACAAAATACAACTTTAAAATATTCTACTTAGTATCTCCA